GGCGGCTCGGTCGCGGACACGCTTGATGTGAGGACGAAACGTTAGTTTCCTATCTAGGGTGACGCCGAGATATTTCGTTTTCGAAACCCACGGGATGTTTTGGCCGAATAGTTCGATCGGGTGATTCATAGAGTCGAATTCCCTGCTAAAGTACACTGCTGCACTTTTTTCGGGATTGACTTCTATGCGCCACCGACGGAACCATTCGCCCAGTATCGTTACGGCTTTCTGAAGCCGTCTGGCTATTGTCGCACGGGACTTGGCGGATGTAAAGAGAGCCGTGTCATCGGCAAACAGCGATATTTCGACTTTTAAGTCGGAGAATTTGGGGATGTCGTTGGTGTACAACGAGTAGAGCATCGGAGAGAGGACGGCGCCCTGAGGGACGCCGGCTCGTATGGGGTGCGGGTCGGATAACGCTCCGTTTATACGGTAGCGATAAGAGCGATTCGACAGGAAATCTCGTACAATGAGTACTAGCCTGTCGGGGACACCTAACTGATGAAGCTTGTAAATCAAGCCGTTGTGCCAGACTTTATCGAAAGCCTTAGCCACATCGAAAAATAGGACGCCTGTACCGCCTTTGGGGGACTTGGTGGCGAAGTACAGAGTGTTTTTGTGAATGTGCTCCGTGATGCGGTGCACTTGATGGACGCATGAGTGTTTGGCTCGGAAGCCAAACTGCTCATTGATGAGCAGGCCTTTGGAGTATATAAACTCCTTTAGGCGGGCGAGGAGGATTCGCTCGTACAGCTTGCCTATAGCCTTGAGGAGGCTGATAGGACGATAACTGGACGGGTCGGATTTATTTTTACCGGGCTTGGGGATGCCAATGACCACGGCTTCTTTCCAGCTGTCTGGAAATATAGCGTTGGACAGCGCCGCGTTAAAAATAGCGACGAGTAATAACAAAAGTTGGGATGGCAGACTTTTGACTAATCTATTCGATATGCCGTCTGAGCCGGGTGATTTTTTGATAGGTAGTTGTTTAACTAGCGTTTTGACCTCATCAAGCGTGACTGGTGAGAGGGATTTGGTGGGCGGGGTGGACGCGATGCGTTCGACTTCGGTGTCTATCTTCTCGAGATGACCTGCCTCGACTGGGAGCGTGCTGGGGGAGCATTGGGCTTCTAAGTTGGACGCTAGACACTCAGCCTTGTCTTCGTCGAAGAAGGCTATAGTGTTGTCGAGTCGGACTAGCGGGGGCATGTCGTTTGTCTGTTGGTCGGTTTTGAGAGATTTCGCTATGCGCCAGTACGCGGTGTGGCATGGCGTTATCTCTTCTAGGAGCTTGCCCCACCGGCCGTCCCGGATCTGCGCGATGCGCTCCTTAACGCTACGCTGTAAGGCTCGCAGGCGCACCCGGTTCGGTTCGGAGGGGTAGCGATCGTACGCTCTAGTGGCTGCGTTCTTATCGCTTATTAACCTCCTTACGTCATCGGGGAGCTGCCAGCGACGGTCGTCCGTCGCCGGTACCTCCCTGGAGCAGTCCTTGACTGCCGACTGCAGGTGGTTAGTAAGCGAGTCGATCGCAATGAGAGTGTCCTCGGTGGACTCTATGACGTCGGGAATACGGTTTAGTATCGGTGTGTCGGTCGATTCGAGAGATTTCTCGAGTCGTTGCCAGTCTGTTATTGTTTTGGTTGGTAGTGGCGTGTCGGGCGGAGGGCCCAGAAGGAGGGTTACCGGTCGATGGTCCGAGTTAAGCTCGGCATGGACTTCTGGGGAGCTCACCCGTAGGGTTACGTTCCTCAGCAGTGCCATGTCCAGTATGTCGGGTCGGTGGTTCACGTTATGGGGATAATGAGTAGGGCGGAGCGGGGCGATTATCTCGAATTCGAGCGAGTCGGCTAGTCTGTCTAGTTTGTGGCCGTTTGTCGTGGACACGTGGCAGTTCCAGCGGGTGTGTTTACAATTCAAATCGCCAGCCAGAATGGTGGCGCTGTTGATATCTAGGAGGGCGCGTAGGTCGCTTTCCAGCAGTAGTTTGCCGGGAGGCTGATATACGGATGCCACGGCGAGCGGTCGGTGGCCGGTCATGCCGAGAAGACAGACGGAGGCCTCCATATGAGTGAGAGGCGGTGTTTGTAGCGGTATACAATGTAGGGACCGTTTATAGTATATGAGCGTACCGCCGCCTCTACAGGCGGTGCGGTCGTTCCTAACTAAGTTGTAATTGGCGATTCTAGGATCGCGGACTGAACGTTTCAGTAGGGTCTCCTGCACGAGGAGAATATCGACTTGGTGGTCAGTGAGAAAGGAGGCGATTTCCTCCTTTTGTTTTTTTTAATCCGAACGCGTTAAAAAACGCTATTCGAACGGACCGAGGCTTTTCTCTCTGAGCTCGAGTACCCATAATTACAGGTTAAAATTGAGGATGGCGGTAAGTACGCCGATGTGCTCGCAGACGGCTGCGAGCCTATTTTGGGGCGACTCCTTATACAGGCGGAGCTTGGAGGCCAGAAGGGCAATCTCGTTAGGGTCGATGGTGCTGGCTAAGCGAGCGACCAATGCGAAGTCCTGCGCGAGGGAGCTGCCGTTGGCCTTGGGGGCCGCGGGCAGTGTTTTGGGGACGGGTTTGTGTATGGGCATGGGCGGGGCCGACTGGGCGGGCGGGGCTTTCTGGGCGGGCGGGTTGGGTGCTACCTTGCTTACAATTGCCGGGGGTTTAATCCAGGCATTGTTAGCAGGCAGAGGGGCGGGTACGAGTGGCTCGGGTTGTGTTTGAGCCTTGGCGGGGGCACGTGCCGGAGCACGGTTGCCCTGGGTGTGGGTGGCCTTCTTTTTGGCGGGACGTGGGGCGCGTGAACAACCGCGGTAATTCGCGGTGTGACCCTCTGTGAGGCAGAGGGTGCAACTGGGGGCGTGGGGGTGTTGGGCCTACGGCCGCAATCTGCGGTGGCGTGATCGCCTAGGCACTTGACGCACCGTGGGCGAGCGAAACAATTACGGGCAGAGTGCCCGTAGTTCTGACAACGGTGGCATTGTCCGGGGTAGGTACGCTTGCGAGGCGCCTCTACGGAGAGCGAGGATAGTTGGCAAATGCTCTTTATATCAAAGATCGATTTGCCTTCTGGGGATAAATCTAATACGACTAGAACAAGGTCGATAGCGGCCTTGTTGCGTGAGCGCGACTGGTACATACGATGTACCTCGTGCGCTGGGTAATTCTGGGACTGAAGGTCCTCAAGGATGGAGTCTGTTGAGAGCTCCTTGGGTAAACCGCGTATTACAACGCGGAGCTTTTTCTCTTCCTCGAGAGCATAGGTGTGATAACCTATGTTTTTCTCCCGCAGGAAGGTGGTGAGACGACGATGGTCGTCAGATGATGGGACTGATACTTTGATCCCTATTGAGGTAGCCTTAGCATGGCTGAAATTGATATGCTTGTTTTTAAGCATATTGGATACGGTGTTCCAGGCACTTTTGTCCTGGATGATGACGGGGGCGGGGCTTTGGTCTCGGGGTGCGACTTGCGTGCACTCGGACCGGGGGCGGTTTTAGCGGTGCCGTCATGGGCACGCTTTGTTTTGGCTGGCTGGGAGCCCTGGGTCTTCTTGGCACGCTTGTTGCCAACAAGAATAAAATCGTCCTCGTCTGAGGAGACCGGGGGGATGGGAGAGGGGACGTCGCCGTCGCGGATGGCGTCGAGCTCCATACTAGGAGCGTCAAGCTCCGCGACGGAGTCGTCCTGCTCCATGGACGGAGAGGCGGGATCGGCCTGGTCGGCTTGGGTCGGGGGAAGCGGCGGGAGCCGTTGGGAATCGTCCTCGAATTCGTCAGTGTCAGTCTGAGTCATCATTGGGGACGCGGGGGGCGAGCTGTACACTAAGTGGACGGGCTTGGCGGCTTTGAATGCTATAAAAGCATTTAAGATGCCGGGACACTTTTTTTCCAGGAACTGGAAGAACAGAGGCATATCGGCCTCTGATAAGGACATTTTTTTTGAACAGTGGTAATGTTAATTACCACTGTTCAAAAGAATAGAATAAGAGTAGAAATAGTAATATAAAACAATACAATAACAATACAACAATACAATAACAATACAATACAATGAAACAATAGGGTAAGTCAGTACTTAAGATAAGGACGGTCGTCGGCGGGTGCAGCCGACGGTGTCAGCGGGGGCCTCCCTGCCGGGTGAGGCAGGGGGGTGAGTGCCTATTGATATGTGACCCTAATATGTAAGATCACTAATCTTATTGAGTGAAAAATGTGTACCTAAGCGAACCTACTTGGTGGCGTCGGCGGCGGGCGGCAGGCAGCAGGCGTCGGCGGGTGTTGGTGGCAGCGGCGGCGGCTCGGATCGGCGCGTCGCGCAATAGGCGTGACGCACCTCCCTAACTCACGACAGTCCGTGCCACTGAACGTCCACACACAACACTTCACTTCACTTGAACGAAGAGAGTTCTCCTTCAGTCCTCACAACACAACACTACACACGCGGAAAGTCCGGTAGCACTGTGTCGGAACGGATGCCGAGAGCGCGGTCGGCCGCGGTCGGCGCGGGACACGGAGGCCCCGGGCCACGCTAGGTGCACCGAGTGCACCTAACACGCGGCGAAGTATAAGAATAAGAACGCGCGAACGTAACTGCGCTACGTGCGCGCGCGCGGTGTGTTGCTCGAGGGAGCAGAGAACAGCGAGACGGCGGCGGGACTAGCGAGCACATACGTGCGTTCGCTAGCGCGTCGGTCAGCGGAATGCGGACCGCTGCGCGGCCGCGCTCTTTATATAGACGCCCGACGGGTGGCCTTCCCTACTGCAACTGTACGTTGCGTGATTTATTTTTATTAACAAAAATGATCTTACAAATTTTGCTTATACTAATTATATCTAATTGATTCCGTCGTGTACATTTCTCCCGCCGTCGCTATCCTGCGATTCTACTGGTAGCACGACGATTCGTTTTGTTGGTCTTCTCAGGGTGCGCCCGTTGCTCGTTGTGATGTCTACCACTCGCACCGTGTTGGGGTTATCTTTCCCGGGGTAGGTCTTCACAACGCGTCCCCGTGGCCATGTATTTCGGGGTAGGTTGGGTCGTATATGATGACTGTGTCGCCAACCTTGGGGGGAACACCGGTACCTCGGGGCTCCCGCCGGTGTTGAAGTAAGGGTAGGTATTCCACCACCCAGCGCCTCCAGAACTCATCTGCTAACGCTTGTGCTCGTCGCCAATGATGTCGTGCGTTCATGTCTCCTTTGTTGAACACTCCGGGATTAGGCACGTGTGAGTTGGGGCCGATCAGGATATGGTTCGGTGTTAATGCCTCCGGATCGCTCGGTGTGACGGACACGTGAGTGAGAGGTCGGGAGTTGACTGTATTCTCCACCTCGGCTAGCAGGGTCACCAATGTCTCGTCTGTGGGATAACGCTCGTGCAGCGTAACTCGTAGGGCTTCCTTTACTGACCGCACCATGCGTTCCCATACCCCGCCCATGAAGGGAGCAGCGGGTGGGATGTACCTCCACGCGATGCTGCGGTTGGTGGCCTCCTCTTCTAGTGCTGCCATAGCCGCCTTGAGTTCCTTTTCAGCTGCCTTGAAACACGTAGCGTTGTCGCTCCATATTTCCGTTGGACAACCTCGCCGAGCCATGAACCTCCTCAGGGCGGCGATGGCTGAATGAGTGCCGAGGGTATGCACCACTTCAATGTGTATGGCTCGTGATGTCATACACGTGAAGAGGGCGCCGTACCGTTTTTCTCGGTGCCGTCCGACTGTGGTTTCAATGGGGCCGAAGTAGTCCAGCCCTGTGTAGGTAAAGGGGCGAGCGTGATGCGCTAGGCGGGCGGCAGGCAGGTCACCGGTCGGTGGGCTTGTTGGCTTCTTTCTTCTTATCTGGCAGACCAGACACCCCTTGATGACGTTCCGTACTGTGGGTCTTATTTTTACAACCCACAGCCGCTGCCGTAGCTCATTCACTACCGCTTCTATACCGCCGTGGTGCATTGTTTCATGTATATGTTGTATATACAGACGTGTATATCTGTGTTTCCCGTCTAACACGGGTGGGTTGAGTACATCTTTTTCTACGTTCGATGTTGCTGTAATTCGTCCTCTTAATCGCAGCATTCCGGTTGTGTCGATGTAGGTACTTAGCGCTGTCAGTCTGTCTTGTTTATTCAATGGACTTCCCTTTTTTATTCGCAATATTTCATTCCCGAAACTATCTTCCTGGCAGGCTCGCATCCACATTCTCTCGGCTTCAAGTAGGTACTGCGCTGGCACCGGGATGCTGGGCGTCGTTATTTTCGTTCTTCCATTTCTTGTTATGATTTTTTCATTATTCTTTTTTCTCCAGTCAACATCGCCCTTTTCATTCTTCTTGGTTCGTTTCTTCGTGGCGGCTACAATATTTCTTTGAGGTCGACAGAGATCGACAAATTGTAGCACGCGCGCAGTCGATTTGATGAGCGGCAGCCACCGCGAGAATCGGTCGATGTCAGGTAAGTGTGCGTGAGCCGTACTTGTAACGGTCACATGGCATCTCTCTCGCTCTTCGCCCGTGACTGATATCGCTGTCCTTGTTTCTCGCGGCCACTCGTTTTCTGGCTGATGTAAAAATGATGGCCCGTTGAACCATCTGTGCTGTGGTCCGAATTCGCTTGGTATACCTCGGGTGGCATCATCAGCTACATTTTCATGTGTAGGGACCCATCGCCATTCATTTTTTTTTGTTGTGTCTTCTATTTCAGCCAGGCGGTGAGCCACAAAGGTCTTAAAGGCCCTTGGTTCTGACCTTATCCATGCTAGGACTGTCCGAGAGTCGCTCCAGTATGTTTTACTCGCTATTTCGTAGTCGTGCTCCTCCGCCACGGTATGTGTGAGGCGCGCACCCATTAACGCAGCTTGAAGTTCAAGTCTCGGGATTGAGACGGGCTTGAGCGGTGCGACGCGACTTTTAGCGGCGGCCAAGGTGACATGTGTGGTACCGTCGGCTCTTTGTGACAGCCAGTACACTGCCGCGGCGTACGCCTCTTCACTGGCATCCACGAAGGTATGCAGATGATGGGTGACCACTGGTGTGACATCATAGCATCGTGGTATGCGTATCTTGTGTACAGTTCGCAATGATGTCAACCAAGTACTCCATGCTGGCTGCAGTTCTTCTGGTAGCGATTCGTCCCAGCCTGTTTTATAGCGCCATGTATCTTGCAGTAATCTTTTCGCTGGCGTTGTGATGGGTGATATGAGGCCAAGGGGTCGAAGAGTGCCATGATGATGCTGAGCGCTTCTCTTTTCGTTGGTATCCGTTTGTTTTCTAATATATCTTGCGGCGTTTTTATTTTGTTAACTTGAAATCCAATTATGTCTTCATTTATATCCCATAACAAGCCGATAGCTCGCTCAGTATCGCTCCCTCCAATCAGAACCGCTGTACTATTTGTCCCGCTCTCTGAAGTGTTGTCTCGCTCGCTTGCTATAAACTCGTCGATAGTATTGCGATTGTTTGATGCCCATCCGCTGAGTACGAAGCCGGTTTGTTTATGTATATAATCGACTTCTCTTGTTATTTTTCTGGCTTCTGAGATTGATGAGAAGCTTTGTAGATAGTCGTCCATATAATGATTTCTTCGTATAGCGATTGCGGCGTCGGGATATATATGCGCGTAGTCTTCTGCGTTGCGGTTTTTTATATACAGAGCGGTGCAGGGTGATGACGTCGTCGAATATTAATGACGTCATGCGGGTACTCGTCTGGGTCGCCCTCCCGCCGGTCACCTCTCCACAGGAAACGGAGCGCGTCGCGGTCTTCTTTCTTAATTTTTACTTGCATAAACATCTCTTTGATATCTGCAGAGACTCCGTAGGCGTACTGTCTGAACCTCATCACCACCCCAGGCAGTGATTGCAACAGGTCAGGTCCAGAAAGCAGCAGGTCGTTTAGGCTGAGACCTGCAGTCTTAGCGGAGGCGTCATGCACCAGTCGCGGCGGCTTGTGTGGCTTCGCTGGGTTCGCAACCGGGAAGTGTGGCAGGTACCATGTTCTGTCTTCAGCTGGCGGTGTCTTGGCGTGCTCTGCATACCCCGACGTGAGTAGGTTATTGATTCGTTCGTTGTATTTAATTTTCAGGTCTTCATCTCTGTCTAATCTCTTTTCGAGGTTATGCAGACGTTTTCTTGCTTCGGTGTAATTGTTCGGTATTTTCATGCTGTCTTCTCGCCAGAGTAGCCCAGTTTCATATCTTCCATTCGGAAGACGGCGACTTTCTCGTTCTAGTATTTTCAAAGCTCGCTGCTCTGGATCATTTTTTGGTTTTCTGGGTTCGATGCATAGTGACTCCAGCTTGAAGTAATTTTTCATCATTTCTTCTATGTTGACGTCATCTTTCTTCTCCACCAGGTGCCCGCAGAAAGTCACCGGGTTGCTGAGAGACGTCTTGCAACCATGCAGAACCCAACCTAGTAGCGTGTAGGATGCTACCGGTTGGTCACGACGTCCCGCCCGTACCTCTCTTGACACGATGAGATCCCAGTTATCTTGTCCTATTAATAACTTGGGGGTAGCACGGTGGTAGACGAGTTCTTCTCGTATTTCTTTCAGGTGACCACACTCCTTTATGTCGCTGTCGACGACCGACTGGGTAGTGATATCCAGTCGATCCACTGTGCGGACTTGATCTAGCTTGAAGATGGTTGAAGAGTGTTTGCCCTTGATTTTCACGCTGGTTGTCTTGCTGTGTTCATGCTTGACCATGGCGCCGACGCCCTGTATCCACATCGTGTTTGCCGGACCATCAATACCCAGGATGTCAGCTACCGATGTATCGATGAGTGTCACTGTGCTGCCTTCGTCGAGAAGAGCGTATGTTTCTATCTTGCTCTTCGGCCCTTGCAATATGACAGGTACTACTTTCAGATAGGCGCGACGTCGGAGACATTCTTCATTGCCTTCCATCGTAGAAGTTACCACCCCATGCTCTTCTGGTGGTTGTTGAAGCTGGTCCTCTCTTTTCTGTCATGATGCAACAAGTGATGGTGTTTCATGTGGCATCCAGATTTGCCACACCATGGAGCTCTGCAGACGGCGCGTCGATGTTTACTTCTCAGGCACTTGTAGCATATGTTATTCTTCTTTGCAGTTTCCCATCTTGAATTAACGTCGATGTTATTGAAATGCTCGCAGTCAGGCAGCTGATGGTTGCGTTTGCACAGCGGACATACATTTTCATTGTTTTGCTTCATATTAGTAGCAAATGAATGTTCGATCTTCCGTCTCGCTCTCTCCCTTGTTGCCGTCTCGCTCTCAACGAGACGTTCCGGCGCGGCGTACGCTGCACATTTGTCTGCCTCTTCGTTTAGGAAGACAGACATTTTCTTCAATTCCGGGATGTCTTCCTTTTTCAGCGCGTAGTCGTACCATTTATTTTTTATTATAGGTGTGAGCTTCTCTATGATGAGACGTGTCATTTCTGGGCTGTGTAGATATTGTGTTTTCTTCAGTGCTTCAATCGTAGCGACTGTGTTCGCTATTTTGCCGGCGAACACGCAGAGATCCCGTGGGTTATCGGTGATCTTGCTCAGTGACTTGATTCTATCCATCTCGATGAGTATGAGTGCTTCTGGTCTTCCGAATCTTCTTTCCAGTGCTTCTATGATGACATTTGGTTCATGTTGACTCAGGAGTAGGCTGCTCACGGCGTCTAGTGCTGGTCCCTTTATACATTTTCGCAGGCGTGCTACGTTTTCTATCTTCGAGAAGTATTGCTGTGTATCTTCGTAGCTTGCCTTGAATGATAACCATTCATAAGAGAGGCCCCTGAACATAGGCAACTCTTGTATATATGCAGGCGGCTCCCTTGGTCGTCTTCTTGATGCTTGCAGTAGTGCTGTCGTTAATGTCGAAACGTCGATGGTTTGCTGCGGTTGCTTGAATTTCCTCTCCGCGGCTGCCTCATCTTGTTTCTCCTCCCGTGGCATAGGAACTTCTTTTTCGCGTGGCTGTTGATCAAACCACGCATCCACCCACGTGGAGTCTTCATTTTCTTCTTCAGAATATTCTTCCTCGGAGTCTTTTTCTGCCCGTAAACGTTGTAATCGCGCTATCTCCATATCTGCCTCTGCTTGCAGCTGTTTGATTTTTAACTTGGCCAGTCGTTCTTTAATCTCCAATTCTTCCAGTTTTTTCCTTGAGACCGTGGAACGGTGTGACCTCGCCTTCACTGTTTTCTGGGAGGTGTCTTCTCTATTCGGTGAGTCCTCCACTTGACTTGACTGCATAGAGGATTCGGCGCTTGTTTCGTTTTCGGTGGATTCATGCGAGTTTTTCGCTTTAGTGCCTTCTTCATTCATGCTTCGCGTCACGACCATCTTGATTTTCTTCCTGGTGCAGGGATCCGGCTTCTCGAAGGACCACAATGTTGATGATAGGACTATATACTAGGATCCCCTGGTCGTATGGTCGGGCGGCGAAATAAAAATGCTCGGTTGTTATCTTGTACTTAGTAGGAAGGCACCTATCGGGTCGCTGTCTCGCCGGTGAATGCGGACCGCTGCGCGGCCGCGCTCTTTATATAGACGCCCGACGGGTGGCCTTCCCTACTGCAACTGTACGTTGCGTGATTTATTTTTATTAACAAAAATGATCTTACAAATTTTGCTTATACTAATTATATCTAATTGATTCCGTCGTGTACACTATACCACCAGCAAATGCTATTGTAATTTTGTCAAAAGCAAATAGTCTAATCATATATTTATAATATTAAAAGGTATAACAGGAAAATTAAGGTAACAAGTACAGGACAGTAAGAACTAATCAATTTTAAAATACATACATAATGTAGATAAATAGAAAACATCCAGACTGATACAATCATAACTAGCTAGTGAAATCGTAAACTTAACAATACTGTAAAAATAAGTCACAACAATATTACTCACTTACTCCCTTTATAAGTTTACCCCCATGGGGTGTGAAATAGGATAATCGCGTTCACCCGGCTATAGAACGCCATACGTTTCCCATCAAGTGGTATGGAATAATCCGTTTTGTTAGTTAGCTCGGCACACGACCCGTGCCGAACTATGCGGATCAAATAGAACTCGATTTTTCATTCATTATACTTCTCGTTTGATCATGAACATCTAATTATTTACAGTTACTTTACATTCCTATGAACAATATGTTTTCAGGGGGTGCCCTGAATATATGTCGATAAAAATAGATATACTACCGGAATATTTGAAAAATATAAAAAAAGATAAAATATTTATATGCAACTTAAAAAAATATTATTATAATGTCATCGTTGTCTATAAGCTACGGTAACCGTTTACCATCAGATGGGCCGTATACTTAAATGCCACCTAAGTGGTATTAAAAAAAAAATTAAAAAATAGACAGATTACTTATAACTTATAAAATCAGTATATATATGTAATGGATTAAAAAAATAATTAAAGTCTTATAGCCACTGTACCTCTTTGTAGCTTGCTGTGTCTATCAGAGTACATAGGGCTCTTATAATAATGTTATGTCGAACTTTAATGTAACACTATGGAATGCAATTGAATAAATAAATAAATATACGGCAACACACAAGTTCTTATCGCTTAAGCGATTCCTTCCAGACAATCTTTGGCTGGAGGAAAATGAACTGAAATTCAAAATATCTTCATTCATATAGGTCTATTACAGACTCTTATGATAAATCAAAATCTACGTTAGTCCGAAATGGAATGTTGAAAATGAATCGGAATTTCTTTTCAAATAAGCTTGTATATGTAGAAATTAATAAAGATTCATTTTTAAATTCAAATTTGGGGGAATACAGTGACCACCAGCATATGCTATAGCAATTTTGTCAAAAGCAAATAGTCTAATCAGTGGTGGTAACCTGAACAGACCAGTCCCCACAAGCAGCACTCGGACACGAGTATGACGGATGGGCCAGCCATCATTGCACCCGACCATATTAGAGGGTAGACCAAGTTTTAACATTATAACCAGCATGACTGGTTCAAGTTACTCAACTACGTCATTTGTAGCAGTTACTGCGTAGGCTGTAACAACAGCCGTTGGTGTATGGCGCGTACCTAAGTGGTGTGGGTAAGATGAAAGAAACATAAATAACATAAGAAACATTAGTGTTATCTCTGGACTGCACCTCTACAAATAATCTACCTATAAATAATCTATTTATGAGTAAACGATACCCTCCATTCAAGGAACTGATAAGGTTCACACAATGTATCGATAATTATTTAGAAATAAAGCAAGCAAGTTCCATAAGTACAGCGCAGGACGTCGTGAAAAACCGCACGAACCTGGCCGCTTGCAAAAACCAGCTGCGCGGTTCGTTTGGTAGGAGCGAGACGGGTATACGTGCGAGCGAGAAACGCGAGAAAAACCTGCGCGGGCGCAGCGAGCCTCGCATATCTGGGAAGTGATTGGCAAAGATTAAAAATGTGGTAATCAGAGAGGACATATGTGGATTTTGATGGCTAAAATTTCCAATATTACCTCCAAAAATTTAAACTTGAAAACCTTAATATAAAGTATTTTATTTAATGATCTTTGGTCTGCTGTCAATATTAGGAACTACGGTCTACATAATATACCCGCAATTTCCTCTATTTTTTTATAAAAATATAGGTTATTATTATTATTATGACATAAAGAGAGGACTATAAGCTTATGTCCGTAGTCGTGAATGTTCATATCAAATTTCATTAAGAAAGTGTTAGCCATTTTATCGTGCAAAGATAACAAAAAGACAAAGTGTTTTTTCATTTGGATATAATATTAATATATTCCGAAATTATTTCACTATTTAAAAAATACGTTACTCCAAAAGTTACATAGGCAAAACTCATAAACTTAGAAAGTTCTATAGTGAATCCAGACGAAGCCAAGGCGGGTTGAAGCCAATATTTAAATCTGAATGAGTTTAATTAAATCCCATAGATTTGTAATAAAATTAAAGAAATATATATATCATTATTTCATTAAAATAATCCACGATATAACTATTTTAAATTGATTGTCTCTGAGAGGACATCGTTGAAAATTAACTAGGCAGAAATAAACATAAAATGTTTCTTTCTGTTATCGATATAATCTGTGGGATCAAAGCATCTCGCCGCCGTAGATCCTTCAGATGTTCTGTGCAAAAACAAAATCTAGGCTGGAAATACTGAATCTAGGAATCGAAAGCCACCTTATTATAATTGGATTTCGCCTTTTTTTACTGAAATACTCTGTACTATACTCTTTTATTTGGGTTAAAAATAAATTACTTACAGTAGGTGCTTTGATATATACGTCAAGCTGTTATAATGTCTACTTTTTTAATAATTCGATTGTTTTGTTAAAATTGTCTGAGGAAATTTTAACAGAACAATCGAATGAGTATGGGAAATTTGGCCCCTTAGGTTGGTCAAGATTATAAATTGTTTTTAATGTTTCATGTAAAGATATATATATAAAGTTGTCTGGTATATCTTTACGTAGTACCTATAAAATCTATAAAGTCACTTCCGTTATCTGTTTGCTTATGTCATTTAAACGACACGCAACGGATTTCAATTCAGTTTAGCAATAGATAGAGTGATTCAAGAGGAAGGCTTATATTTATAATACACTAACTACTCGCCCCTGCTTCACACGGGTGTACATGTATTATATATATAAACGATCCTCTTGAATCACTCTATCTATTTAAAAAAAACGCTTCAAAACCCGTTGCGTGGTTTTAAAGATTTAAGCATACATAGGGACGGACAGACAGCAACAGCGACTTTATTTTATACTATGTAACAAGTTGAGAAATTTAAACCAATACAGAAGGTCGAAGAATATTTGTGGTCTCACACATGTTAATGATAGCGGAATTAAACAAAATAATATAAATCCTTTAATTATTTGAATTTAACTGTTCAATAATTTATTTATCA